CTCCCTTAAGGCGCTTTTTAAAACTTTTAAAAGGGAGCAGCACACGATGGTTATTTATGAGCCGGAGGGGGAGAGAGAGGAGTCCGGGCGCACCAGCTGAGGGGCTTGCATTGGCAGGCTGGGGGGGGCCCTCCCGGGGGCCATAATTGGGGGGCAGCTGAGAGGCAGCCGGGCACTTGGGCAGCTGCCGGGCCACACGCTCGCCCCGCTCCCTGGTGGGATGTGGGAGCCCCTGGCCACGTTCCCCGGAAAGCCCCCTGCGTGGGCCGAGGGCGCCTTGAAGGACAGTGCCAGGCCTGGAGGGGGGGGGGCAATTCGGGGGACCCCCGGGGGGGCAATTGGGGGGGGGGGGGGGCCAAAGGCAGTGGGGCGGGGCCACAATGCTCCCTGTTTTAGCTGAGGCAGGAATGTCAGCCTTCCCAACTCGGGGTGGGAAAGCGCATGCCGGGGAAGCGCCCATAAAGCTGTCAGACCACGTGGTGGCGGGAAATGCGGAAGGCCGGGAGAGCTGTGGGCATGTTGGGGTGTCCAAAGGGGCAGATTTCACCCCCCCGCCACCTTGAAGGAAGGCCACTGGGGGCTCAGCCCCAGCCAGCCCGCCCCTCCAGCATCCTGGGTTCCACTGGGCGACCCCGGGAATCCCACATCCTGGTTCTTGCAGGTGGGGGCGCTGCACCTGGGCACGGGCGCCCTGGCCATGGGGAAGAAGGCAGCAGTGCCTTCAGATGGAGCTCCTGCCAGCCTGCGAGTTCAGAGAGGGCACTCGGCTGGCACGGTCCAGGCACCCCTCCTCTGCTCCTGCAGCGGAGAAGCACTGAGGAATTCCGTTTGTCCAGCTTGATTGAGGTCTGCGCATTGCACCGGCTGGCCGGTGCCCGGGATGCCACCCACGCCTCTCCGGGCTGGTTTCCCAGAGTGCTTTGAGCAAACGCCATGCAGCTTGTACGCAAGCCCCACCTAAGCCGGGGTTCACCTGCCCGAGGTGGTGAGGAGACGCAGAGTTTTGCTCCTTTGGGGAGAGAGCAGAAAGCCGATGCTGTGGCAGTACAGAAAAGGAAGCAAGAGAGAAATAAAATGTGGCTGCGACAGGGCCAGGCTCGTGTTTTTCTCCTTCCGCTCTGCCTTTGGAAATTAATTGAAAAAGCTACTTGCCGTGGAATGGAGATTGAATCGTTGAGAGAAATGCAGCGGGGGGGGGGGGGTGCTGGAGAACCAGAGAGAGCGAGACGGAGCATTTAGCTGCCCCCACTGCAAGGTAATCACCAAGCAAAGAAAATCTCTACTGGGTAATTTTCTGCTAAATCCTCCGAGCAGTTCTGGAAATTACATATTCCGGCTTCCTTCCATGTGCAGGTACGCATGGTGGCGTGGGTCCTGCAGACCACATATAGATGGACGGATAGGCGGATGGAGAGATCGGATAAGGTGCTCCTGCTCCTCGAAGGTATTTTCGAGGCGCAGTCTCTGGAGGACCATCCCAGCTAAGCACCATGGATCATTCCGTAATGGGATTGGCAGCTCACCCAGAACTCGCCGGAGGAAAAAGCAATCTCGCAGATGGTGGCGTAAACACTGGTTTGGAGATTAAAGCACTCTTCCCGGCTGGGGAGCTGGGGCACCGCGACGGCCTTGGGCCCCGGCAAAGCTGCGAGCATCGCCTGGCCGGCCGCAAGGGGGGTTCCGGGGCAGCCCGGAGGCCCAGAGACCCAAAGCCAGGACAGTCCGGAGGTGGGGTGTGAAGGGGCAGATCCCGCCCCTTGGCTGGGCTGCCCGGAGGCCCCCGTCTTCCGGCCCGTGAGCAGCCACCCCGAGCTCTAAGATGGCCCAGCTGGACTACTGCGGTGTGGGGCCGCCCTTGAAGGCTCTTTGGAAAGGGCAGCCAGTCCCAAAGCGAGTCCCGCTAAAGCGATGATGCGAACTGCCTGGTAGGATGAGGGCGACCAGAGCAGGGAAAAGGACTATCTGGGCCCACTCCTGTTTGGCTGCCCCCCACCCCATGCATGCACCCCCAAGATAAAAGGGAAGCAGGGCCGTTCCAGCAGCTCTGCTTAACTTTCTCTCTGCCCTCCTCATCTTTTTCTTCTTCTGTGTCGCGCCTTTTTCATTTGCATGCCTGCTGAAGCAGGGTTTGCCTTGATTTACCTTTCATACCTAAAAACATAGAGACAGAGTGAGTCAGAAGGGACCTCCCGGACCATCTAGTCTGACCTCTGGCTCCAGCTGGTTCCACTCATGACATGCCTACTTTAGGAGAATTTTTGGTTGAGGACTGAGAGAAAAAGTAAATACATTGGGATTTAACAATGGTTATTAACTGCAAGAGTCGAATGGAGCCTCCAGATTATGCTCTGGAAACCAATGGCAAGAGGAAAGGTCCCTGGGTTCTTAAGGGCTCCTTGTGGGTCCTGGGGGGCATCTGGCTGACCCTTGCTGGAAACAGGTTACTGGGCCCTTGGTCTGAAATTTCCTACTTTCTTAGCAGTAACTTTGGTTTGGACTTGAATCTCTGGCTCTTGACCCTGCGGGTCTGAAATGGCTGGAGCTTCAACTCTCTAGTCCTCAGCATCTTCTTTCCCTTCCCAATGGGGCAGACTACATCTCCCATCATCCCCAGCCAGCAGGGCTGCCTAGCACACCTGGAGGTCCCTGGGTGGCTCGGGAGGCTGTAATTTAGGCGTTCCTAGAAGATCTCCGAGGGGCGACTTGCTCTGAACCAGCGAAGGAGGAAAGAAGCGCGGACACACACAGCTGTTCAAGACACAAAGAGATTATACCATATTTCACACTTCAACTTGGGACGGTCCTTCTCCATTCCGAAAGTACAAATCCTCAGTGCTGGCGTGGCTGTCCTACACAGTAGGATTAATCCTGCTTCCCCTTCTCCTCCTCTCTCTCTCCTTTGCACTTCTCTTACACACAGTTAAACCAGAAATACACACTCATATTTATAGTTCGGCACAATACTTCTAGAAGCTGCTCCCAGGATCCCAGGACTGCGGGGCGTGTGGACGCTGCCTGCCCCCTGCGGATGCCTCCGACGGCAGAACTGGCCTTCTGACGCGACTCTGCGTGTTGCCGGGCCGCGGCCAGCAGTCCTTCTAGGGGGCTGGGGGGTCAGCGGCCCCCGGATCTTCCCAGGGAGCCGTCCTCCAACTGGGGGCTTGCTACTGGATTCAGGAGAGGCCCCGGGGCAGAGTGAGGGATGAAGTGAACAGATCCAAACTGGAATTATAACAAGCGCCTTCTTTTCCATCTTACCAATTTTTAAAAGGGGGGGGGGTTCCTCTAATAAATAAAACTGGTGGATACGGTGTATGGATCAGCTCTTTTTTGGTCACCTATGGTGAGCAGAATATCTGGAGGCAGCCAAGCTGGAAAGTTTTAGCAGACTGGCATTCTCCCCCTCTCAATTCCTTATCACTGATGATCTGCAGGTGTATGTCTGGGGGGGGGGGCTATGCCCACCCAACTTCTTGCACGGATTGTTTGCAAAGCCGAGCTTAACCCAGAGTTTAAAATAAACAACCAAGATACAGAATGAAATCGACAATCCTGTTTCCATAATCTGAAAGGGGAAACCACTGGAAGAGGGAGCCAGAGGGGAACTCAAGAGAGGAGAGAGAAATTCCTGCCCTTTCCAGCCGCCCGACAAGCCACATAAATACAGGAGAATGTTAGGACTGGGAAAGAGGCGTTTGAAATGTGGTGGAGGAAACCGTTCATTTCAGAGTCATGAGAATCTCAATGCTACATTCTCCTTTCTGGAAGGGTGCTGGATTTGTGCGGTCCAGAACCCGCAAGGTGTGGGGTGCGGCTTCAGCCCACACAACACGAGAGGCCGGGGACTGCAAGTCCTGCCCGCTCCCAGGAGCATGGGTGAGCGCAGCAGAGCGCTTGCTTGTGGCGTCTGGTTCATGTTTCCAAGATGGCGGCCAAAATGGGGAATGCCATGCAACAGTCTTGAGAGAGTGCCGCAATGGCGAGGGGGCCCCTGCTTCCCCCCCGCCTGGGAACCCGAGGCAAGCGGCTGGATTCGAGACCCAAGACAAAGTGCAGATGAGCTGGCCCCAAAGCCCCGTCTTGTTCCAGGAGGGCCGGCCCCACAGATTCGGGGAAGCTGAGGCAGCGCATCCGACAGCACTGCCCCACCAGAGCTTACGAGGTCTGGATGCGGCCCTCCCAGCCTGTTGCAGACCCCGCACTTTTGAGGAACATGATGCCATGAAGCCAGCGTGAGATGAAAACCTAAACCAGGGACCCAACGAGGGCCATGCCTGCGAGCACCTGCTTCCTGGGAGGGTCTGCCCAGAAATGTTGAACATTCTGAAACACAGTTTTCAAGTTTTGCTTCTTCTTGTTAAGGCTAAGCTTCTAGTCCTCATGCTGACAGAGAACAAAAACATTAAATGGCCAAACCCAGGGAGAGGTCAGATAAGGGGACTGAGCAGCATTGAGCGCCGGCTAGCAAAATCCACCGCTTCCTGGGATGGCAGCAGCCCCTCCCACTGCCCGCCTGCCTGCCTTGGGATCCATCTCATTCCCCACCCCGACCCCCTGCCCCAAACACGCTTGCTGATAACTTGTCCTCAGATGTTTGGGTGCAGAATCTTGGGGGAATCTGCGCTGCACAGATGCAGAAGTCTCAAATTGCATAACCAAACTGTGTGAAGATGGGACTTGAGCGCAGAGGTGGCCGAAAGCCCCACGACCCGACCCAGGAAGCCCCCAACGAGCAGAAAACTGGGGAGGCGGGCGATGTGGCCCCGACGCTGTGCGGGCCTGGAAGCAGCCAGTGGGCACTGCCGCCCGCGGGCTTCCCCCACCGTCCCAGGTCCCCGCGGGCCGCTCCCCACCACAAGGCACGCTGCGCTTCGTAGTCCTCCGGCTCCCGCCATTCCGAACCGGCACAGGCGGCGCCCCTTTCCACAGCGAGCAGGCGGGGGGGCAGGGCCTGCCCCCCGCGGCTCCGGGCCCCCGACGTACGCACCTCCCGCCCCGGCTCAGTAATGGAACTGCCCGGAGGCCCGGGCCGGGGGCGAGGAAGGCATGAAGAGGGGCTGGGCGGGGGCGCTGGGCTTGACCAGGGAGACGGAGCGCTTGATGCCGCCGTGGCTGGGCAGCGGGGCCGGCTCCCCGTAGCTGTGCTGCCGGGCGAGGAAGGCGGCCGGGCGGCCCTCCTCGGGCACCGACGAGCCCGTGGAGTGCATGCGGGTGAGCAGGGCGGCGGGGGGCGGCCTCCCCGCCGGGCCCAGGCTGTGCTGCCGGGCCAGCCCCGCGCCGCCCGCAACGTTCGCCAGCTTCGGGGCGGCGCAGAGCGAGTGTCTGTGTGCGGCCGGCCGGCCCGGCTTCTCCAGGCAGGCCTGCGGCGGCGGCGGATCCGGGGGCACATCCAGCCTCCGGGGCAGGCTGTCCCTCGGCAGGGTGGAGGAGCTGTAGTAAGGGGCGCTCTCCACGTCGGGGATCTTGGGCTGCACGCGGTTGGCGAAGGACACGGCGGCGGCAGCGGGGGGGAGGTGGGCCGGGGCGCTGCCCGGGGCCTTCCTGGGTGGGCCGTGGGTCTCGTGCAGGTGCCGGAGCAGCTCCTCCAGGGTGGTCACCTCCACCCCCTTGGGCAGGTAGCACTGGGAGTGACGCACCAGCACCCGCTCCGAGTTGGGGATCTTCTTCTCGTCCAGGTAGCCCACCAGGGGTGCGTCGTAGCCGTGGACAGCCACGGCGCTGGGCAGCGGGTAGGCGTGGGAGGCGGCGCCCGGCGTGTGGAAGAGCGGGGGCTTCCCCTGCGCCTCCTTGGCGTTGTTGAAGTTCTGGTTCCGCTCCCACTGGTTCCGGATGGCCTTCATGTTCTTCAGCGGCAGCTCCGGCGTGGACTCCGGCGTGGGCAGGCCGGACAGCTCCGGGTGCTCCTTGGCGCCGGCCTTGGCCAGGGCTGCGGCGCTGGGCGGCTCCTTCTCGCTGGGCAGCAGCGTGGTGTAGAGCTTCGTGGAGGCCGCCTCCACCAGCCCGTCCTTGGCCGGGTTCTCCGCCAGGCCGTTCATCCGGGCCAGGCTGCGCAGAGACAGCGGGCGCTGCAGGCCACTCTCCAGGTCCCTGCCGCCGTGCTTGCCCTTCTGCCCGGCGTGGCTGCAGTAGCAGGAGACGAGCAGGCCCGAGAGGAAGGCGCCCAGGAGGAACGCCACGAAGACGCAGCCGATCAGGAAGGTGAAGTGGACCGTCCGGGCGCCGTCCCGGCCCTCCGCCTCCTGCCGCACCCCTGCAGCCGAGGGAGAAGGGAAAGAGCATGAGGAGGCACGGCACACGCCCCGTCGCCCGCCTGCGCGAGAGGAAGGCGGAAGTAAACTGGGGAGGAGGGCTTGGCGGGGGGCCGGGGTAGCCCCCCGCTGGTCCACGCCTGGCTTCTCCCCCCTTTGCACCAGTGATGGGGCGGAGGGCGCAGTGGGAGGGAGGGGGCTGCTGCGGAGTCGAGATGGAGAGCAGAGCGGAAGCGGGCAGGGCTGCAGGGGAGGGGTTCGCTCCGGAAGAAGGGGCCACGGCTCCTCGCTTGGGCCGAGGAGCCGCTGAAGAACTTTCTCCTCCTCACAGGGGTGTCTGCACAGGAGCAGGCTGAGCTGGCAGCTCGGATTTCAGGGGGGTTCCTCCCGGGGGGGCGCCCCAGGAGGGTCCTCGCAACACGTGGCAGCTGTTTTCGAAGGGTTGGCCAAGCCTTTCCAGGCTGGGAAACCTCACTTTCCCCTTCCTCACTCTTGCATTTTGCCACTAGGGTGATACCTTACCCTTTCTCCTTGTTCCTCTCGCAAGGAAGCCAAGCTGGCTCTCAGGGCTCCTCCCTACATGACCGACAACAGCCCTGTGACGCAGGCCAGACTGACGGCCGGTGGCCCAGTTCGCACAATCACGATGGCTGAAAGAAGCCACCGCGGGCTGTGGGTGGCTTGTTTGGGGGTTGCTGCCCACCCCAAGCAAGGCAGCTGCCCTGATCACACGAGCCAGGTTAGCCACCGGCCCGGGTCCGCCCAGCAAGCTTCGTGGCCCGGCGAGGGTCTGCCTCGGCCAGCTAGCCCTGCCTGTCTGCCTTGCCCTTTTAGCCCCGCCCCTCCCGCCTTTGGCCACGCCCCCTAGGGACAGATAGTTAAGTGGCGGATCTGTGAGCATCGACTGCCTGTTTCCCCTTCGCCACTTAGAAAGCGGCAAAGTGTGCCACGGATTAAAACGGGGCTTCGTTTGGGGTGTCCTAGGCCAGGTTCCCGAGCTCCAGCACATGTGCTGATGGGAGCCCCCCACCTCTCTTTGCTAGGCTGCCCCCCGTGTGCCCCCATTCATTTTAATCGAGGAGACCCATCTACCCACCGCTCATTCGTGAATCAGGATCAAAGCAGGTGGGAATCCTGTAGCGGGCGTGCTCAAAAGCACACCCAGGGCTCCGGCGGAAGAGCCGCGGTCCCTGTGGGCCTCTTGCGGGTCTCCCCGCTTTCCTTTTTAAAAAAAAAATTCGAACAACCAGGACTGTGCAATGGCGTAATAAAAGCACTAATTTAAAGAAAGTGGTTCATTTAAATGGTTATGAAGGTACTGCTATAAAAGGTCATTTATATGGAACTTTTAATGATCCAGAAATAATATATAATATTACTAGTTAATAAAAAATCTTTGTTTTCACTGTCTGCTATATAAAATTAACCTCGCTTACCTAGCCCTTAAAAAAAAACCAGGCAGCTTTGTAATACAATATTAAATACCTGTTATTGCTATTAATTTCGCCGTGAGACTTAGTTATATAGAAAGGAGCTTGCGCACCCTTTCAATTGCACTCTTAATGGAATAAAATATAATTATCTTATAGTTCCTTTTATTGAATGCCCTCTTTCACCCAGGATATTTTATTAATTCTGTTTAGTCCTCTGACTTTGCAGTAACTTTAGCAGCCTGAACCCAACAACTCAGTAACTGGAACATTTAAACTGGATCCTGCTCCTGGCTATGTTGGCGATTCCAGCAGGCCAAAATGTATAATTTGTTAACTCGAAAATGGCTCGGCCACTTACTAACAGCGCAATCTCCTCAGACCAAGAGCAATTGAATTCAATGGGTCTAGTCTCAGATACGTGCAGATTTCAGCATCTTGTTGGAAACACGGAATATTAATGCAGGGCCAGGAAAGCAGAGTTGAGACTTTGGTCTTTCATTTCTTTAACGGGGCTGAGCTGAAAACTCCGGTGCTTCCAATTAATATGGAACACGAGGCAAAGACGGAGCCAAGAGCGCCGCAGCTGCTCTATGCTGGAGTTCTTGCCTTCCAGACTTAGACTATCAGGGAAAACTCATCAAGCTATCGACTGGTTTGTTATTAAAAATGTGGAAGAAGAATAAAACATGCCTTTTTTTGGTGGAGAGCAGGGGGCGGTGGAGTCAAGTCGGAGAGAAGGAATAAAGAAAAAACAGATGGGGAAGCTGAAGGGGTGGGCGGGGGATGCACGAAGAGAAGGTAAAGATGTAAATGAAGGGCTGAAGCAGAATGAGAGAGAAGATATTAGAAATGGATGAGAGATGGGCATGGCTTCTGTGCAGAAGAAGCGCCTTCCAACTCTGCAGACTTCAGACTATGTCGATATCCAGGTCACAAAGAGCTCTTCGTCACCTGGTGCTGCAGAAGAAGGACGTGGCTTCTTCCCAACGAAGAGCTCTGTGTGCCTCAGAAGACAGCGCCATTCGGCAAGGACAGATGTTTGCGTCAGACTGACAGCAAGGTCTGGAGACCTGGGGCTGAAGCCGGCCCTATCTCCGTGGAACGCTACCGAGCGCGAGTTTGTGCCACTGTGACGAATGTGGGATTTAAGCTCGTAGAAGGAGAACCCCGTCTTTGTTTGTGACAAAGCCCTGCTTGTGTTCTAAAAATAAAGGCTTGGTTGTTGATTGAGCAGGAGGGAGAGGTGTGTGTGTGTGTGGGGGGGGGGAAGAGCTCTGTGTGCACTCTGAGGACTGCACTTGTTGGTATCAACTTCAGAAAGACTAACAGGTAAGAATGTTGCTATATCTCTTTGGAACAGATACAGCTTTTAATGTCTATTTTATTCTGCAGATCTGACCCTTTAAAGTGACTGGCATACTGTATGTTGCATTTTAGGGTTTTAATTCTTGTGAACCACCCAGAGCGTTTGGCGTTTGGGCAGCACGGAGAAAAGGCCACGAGAGTGCTGTGGGGGCTGTTTGGAGGGAGGGAAGCTGTGGGCAAGGAGGGAGGCCGAGCAGACCCCACGGAAGCCCGCAGTCACCCAGGGAGGGGCAGGGAAAGCGCCTCCCCACCGCCCGCCCAAATGGGGTGTTTCTTTTGGGAGGGAGGCCTGGGGGTGGCGAGCTGCCGAGAAAAACAGCCCCCTTGCTCGCCTTCCAAATCAGACGCTTGGCTGGCTGGCGGGGGGCTGGATGGCTCCCCCCCAAGCCATCGATGTGGCACCTGGCCTCCTCCCCAGCCCTGGGACGGGGAGACAGAACCGGGGGGGTGGTGGTGAGCAAAAGGGCACCGAAACCCCCAAACCAGAAGCACCTCCAGAGGCATCTCTGGGGCACAGGTTGCGCCACGCTCTCTTCCCCCCAGGACAGCACCTCTCTGGGCAGAGGCGCCACGGATTCCTCTGGGAGGACTCTTTTTTTTTTAATTATTATTTGTATACGAGAGATTTCCCGACCAGGCAGACGTCCCACTGGTCCTAACATGCTTGCAGAAACACATGCAGTTAGTAACTGGGAGATGCTGTCGGGAGATGCGGGGGCCAGGCCTCCCCCCCCCCCTTGTGTCCCGTGCGTGTTATCCCCAGGGGCCAGGCGAGCGTGGAAAACGGGCCCCTTCCATGCAGCGGCGGCGGCGGCGGCTGAGGCCTTGCTAGAGGAGGGGGTGGCGGGGCAGGAGAGGAGAATGAGCCAGCCCCAGCACCCCGTTGCGCCCCGCGTTCGCCTGAAGCGAGGCTTGTCCGCCCGTCTGGTGGCCCCCGGCCCCCAGTTGGGGAAGGAGCAGGTCCCAACGCTGAAGGGGCCGGGGCTGGAGCCCAGGCAGGCCTTCCGGTCGCTGCCTCTTCTCCCAACTCCTGTTCCAGCGCTGGAGGCTGAACCACAGGGTCTCCCAGGCCCGCCTCCCATCCTAACCCCGATCTCGAACAGTGCAAGACTAATTTAGACACTAAACCAACCCCACCCTACAAAAAAAGCAAGGACGACAGCATGGATGCCTTTCCTTCCTAGTCCAGCGTAAGGACAGCGGTCCCAATCCAGACAGGGGCATTTGTCTGGCAACGCAAACCAAGGCACTTTTGCAAAGCCAAACACGAACAGGAGAGTTGAATCTTGGCAAGCCTGAATATCAGTTATTCACCCTCTCTCTCTCTCTCTCTCTCTCTCTCTCTCTCCCTCTCCCTCTCCCTCTCTCTCTCTCTCTCTCTCACACACACACACACACACACACACAAATGCCTGCATGCTGCTGAGCCATGCCTTGTTCTTTTAATGTGGATTATTGTGACGTTCGAACCCAACGGCCCTAACATCATGGTTTGTTTACCAGGCACAACCCATGAAGAAAACCTATGCATTTTTGTTGGACTGTGGACTGTGATTTAGGTATGTTCAGACAGTATAACAACCCCTGATTCAGCAGCAGCCCACGCTCAACCCATACTCAAACCCTGCAGTGGATTCTTGCGTCGTTTGAGCCTGGTCACTCCTTAGGGTACTCCGGCGGACACTAGAAAAGGATGGCATTTTGCTTTAGTCTAATCTCAGAGGAAAGCCACACTGGCAAGCAAAAGAACAAAGGAAGTGCATTTCCGTGAATGGAGAATTCGTGCCCCTGCACTAAACTGCTTCCGCCCATTAGGCAACACTCCCCACGGCATTGCCCCAGGGTGGTGGAACAACAGGGTTGTCCCAGTTTTGAATTACTTCCCTTGTTCCATGACATTCGTCCTTCTGTGGGGCAGGGAGTTGCCCCTGCCTTGCTCCTTGGGGGCTTAAAAGCAACTCTCAGGTACATAAACAGGGAGGGGGTGGGGGGGCTGCGGGAAGCAGAAGGGCCCAAATCTCGGGCGATGTTTCCTCCTGCAGGCAACACAAATACTCTGGCGCTCAGCTCGACAATTTGCTTCTGCCGTGTTCTACAGGGGTCTGCGGACAAAAGGACGCCTTCTCTATCTGTGCCATAATTTTTTCTGCAGGCTGAACAAAGAAAATGGCCATCGGGGAGGAGTGGGTTTTTGTTCGCTCACA